TCTTTTGCTGTTTGCACCTCATTAGACACTGTCAGGGAATCTTGTATGTCTTTATGACTCACTAGTTGAACATTACCATCTTCATAGTACTGAACCTGAATTTTCAAGATGCCAACCACTTGAGTGGTTGAAGGAGTGATTGTAAACTTCCACTTGGACCTCCAACGACCATTCCAAAAGTTTTTTGCTTGGAACTGATGGCTTTCTATGCATGCAATAATTGTCTGCTGTCCATCTATTTTTTTACCATATACAGTGCAAACTCCATTTGGGTAATGTTCTTTTACATAAGCACGTAGAGCAGTTTCTACTGAAGTTCTCCATGACTCAATTGCATTTTCTGCTTCATAGGGTCTTGGATCGGTGGCTTCCTTTCTTAGGTGATCAAATTTGAAACAGATTCTGTTTTTTGGATCCAAAAACTTTCCATTTCCCAAGTCACCATGTTCTGTTATCAATACCTGATCTTCACAGCCATCAATTTTTACCGGAGTAAACTGGTCCAAGTTATACTGTGCAAATGCATGGGCTGCTCCTTCCCTGAGAAGATTATCATTGTTAAGCAGTAATCGAACATCATTAAACACCTCACTGAATTCTCCTGGAGGGGCATGAATGATGAATTTTGCTGCTATCCGCACCTTCTCCTCATCAGACAACTGCTCCTCTAGATCCGCCATCTTTCTTCTCCCAAGGACTAAAGTTTTGACAAACACAAAAAACAACTAACAACCTTTCAAATTAGACTTTTCATAAGCAATCAGTTTGACTCCAACTCATGTGACCCCAGGTGTGCCAGAGTAGACATGTGCTCCACAGGGTTTTCACTGGCTGATTTTTTAGAAACAGATTGCCAGGTCTTTCTTCCAAGGTTTTTCTGGATGGACTTGAAGCTCCAACCTTTTGGTTAACAGGCCAGTACTACCTAAGGACTCCTAAAATATAAGATCCTTCAAAGATATGATTCAGGTTAAGATAAGCCTGTCATTTCAATCAAATTACTTTGATAAGGACCACTTAATTAGTATTGATGCAGATTTTTTTTTCCCCCCCAACCAGACAGTGCTCTGGAAGTTAAAATTCCTCACCTTTCCCTCATACTCACTGAGCAGAACCACTGTGCAGATGAACAGACCTGAACTCCTCCACAGTGGTCAGGCTGGGGTCACAGGCTTACTTTCCACTGATATGATGTGAAATCTTAGCAGAAAGGAAGAGGGGGTTTCTTCTTTCACTGCAATTATTTCATTTATTTATTCATTTTAAAAGTTTTTTTTTTTTTTTTACGTTTTTATTGTGAATTGAGTGATAGTTTACATGGGAGAACATTGGTTTTACACTCATAGTTTCATTGCAATGATTACAATCTCCTCTGTGCATCATCTTTCAACAGTTTTGCTTCTATTCCCTCTGTTTTGTTTTTGTTTGTTTGTTTTGGGACCTACACAAAAACACTCAGGAATATATAATCATTTAAACAACCAAAGGACACATTCTGCCAGCCTGCCTCCTGGCTGCCAGCACATAGCCTTTCTCTTTCCATGAGTCTAGAGTTCTCAGCTGCTCCCTCTCTCCATGTCCTCATCTCTGCCTCCATCTTTGGTGTCACTGCTTCTCTGGATTGGGTCTCACATACTGCTACTGCTCTTCTCCCTTGATGGCCCTAGGGTCCCCTGTTCCTGAACTGTAAGATTAACTACTCCCCTCTTTTTGTTACAAAACTTCTACCTTTACAGTTGTGACAGTCACAATTAATCATGATTAAAGGATCTAGTCTTAAAAGATTAGATTCAAAAGAATTTATAGTTGCAACAAACAAAATAAAACAAAACAAAAACAACTTGTTTTGTTTCAAATCTAGCGATAATAATAGTTTTTTTCTTTTTATCCAAAGCATTTCCATCTCAATTTTCAGCCAGAGAATAGAGAAGTCAATGAGGTGAACAATAACTAGGGAGGTGCACACACCTTAGAACAATTAACCACCTGAGATCCAAAAGACAGCATTTGCCCAAGGACAAACTTCAAAAGACAGGAAGGGTTAAGAAAGAAGGAGGATACGAATCAGAAGCACAAAGAGGAGGTGGGATGAAGGATGTTATATTGTGGGGATTGCAATCAATGACACAAAGTAAAAAATGTTGTTCTGTAAAGCTACACCCAATTCACAATAAAAAGTTAACTAAAAGAAAAAGGGAAACAGCAAGTGTTGGTGAGGATGAGGAGACACTGAAACCTTCATTCATTGCTGGTAGGATTATAAAATGGTAGTCTCTATGGAAAACCATTTGTTCCTCATAAGCTCAACATAGAATTACTATTGTTGTTATTGTTAAGTGCTATTGAGTAGGTTCCAACTCATAGCAACCCTGTTTAGGGTTTCCAAGAAGCCACTGATGAGTTTGAACCACTGGCCACGTTGTTCAAACTGACTTTAAGGTCCAGTGCTTTATTCCAGTGCCCAGCAATTCCACCTCTATGAATGCACACAAGGGATTCAAACAGACCCTTGTACACCAATGTTCTTTGTTGTTGTTAAGTGCCATTGGGTCAGTTCCAACTCATAGCGATCCTGTATAGGGTTTCTAAGGACTAGTTGGTGGGTTTGAGTGCAGACCTTTGGTTTGCAGTCTAGTACTCACCCTACAGTGCCACACTAGGAGTCCTAATGTTCTTGTTAGCACTATTTAAGTACACAAACGGTAAAAACAACATCCATCAATACATACACACGTAAACAAAGGTAATATCTCTATACAATGGAATACTCTTCAGGCATAAAAGAAAATGAAGTTCTGAAATGTTATAGAATGATTGTACCCTGAACACATAATGATGACTGAAATGCACAACAGAACGGATATTGTGTGGCTCCATTTTTATGAAATCTCTAAAACAGGCAAATGCATAGAGAGGCAAATGTCTTAGTGGTTACTAGGAATAGTTGGGAGGAGAGAATAGGAGTTATTGATGAAGAGTTTCTCTTTGGGGTTAAGTAAAAAAAAAAGGAAATGAATTGCGGTGATGATTGTATAACATGTCGAATGTAATTAATGTCAATGAATTACACACTTAAAATGGTTAAAATGGAAAAATTTTCAAAGTAATATTTAAAATAAAAGCATTTATTATACAACAACTAAACTAAAAAAATAAATGAAAATCATTTCCCCTTAATCAAGGTGATTAAACCAGTTTCCCCAATGTGTAGGAGCCTCCAGAAATTGAAACAGGAAATACTTCATTTCCTAGACCTAGATGTAGATCCTACTTGTCTTAAAATTGGCAATAGTAACATTGTTGCAACTTACTAATAGTGTGGCACTGTGGGATAAGTACTGGACTGCTAACAACAAGGTTGGTGGTTCAAACCTACCAGGAGCTGCTTGCAAACCCTACAAAGGGTTGCTATGCGTTGGAACCAACTTGATGGCACTTAACAACAGCAACATAAGGATTAGGTGGTTGTTGCTGTTAAGTGCATTGAGTCAGTTCCAACTCACTGTTGTTGGTAAGTACCATGGAGTCGGTTCCGATTCATAGTGACCCTGCACAGGGTTTCCAAGTCTGTAAATCTTTACGGGAGCAGAATGCCTCATCTTTTTTCCATGGAACTGCTGGTAGTTTCGAGCTGCTGATCTTGAGGTTGGCAGCCCGACTCATAAGCAATACGCTACCAGAGCTCCTTTTCCGACTCATAGTGACCCTTTTTGTAGAGTTTCCAAGGAGTGACTAGTGGATTCAAACCACTGACCTTGTAGTTCGCAGGACTTTGGAAAAGGTTCATGAGCTCCTTCCTTTCTCCTTTCCTTCCTCGCACCTTCCTTTTAAAAGCATTTCTGATGATCTACTCTTAGCCAACAAATGGTGAAGCAGTTGAAATTATTCTTTCACTCAGACAGCTTATAATTTCTATGGGCGCAGGATGAACTCATTTGACAGCTAACCTTGAAATCACAATGGAAGTGGCAGGGTGGTCTGAAAGTCCAGTTTCCTTGAGGATGTGACATTAATGGTAAGATTGGAGAGATAGGAAGGACTTAGTGAGACATACAGGAGGTTAAAACAGAGAGGGATCAAGTGGGGAGAGCGTTAGAAACAGAAGGAAGAGCTTGTGCAAAGGTCCCGAGGTTAGAAGCTAAGTAAATCCTTTGTTCTCAATCTGTTAAAACAGAGTTGGAAGATCAAATGACTCCTGGTTTCCAATCTCCCTTGCTTTTAATGCTGTAAAGAGACCAGAATCCTAATACAATCCTATACTCCACCTACGAATGGGAATACTGGAGAATTTATTATGAAGTCCAGTCAGCTTCATATGCCTGAGTAGATGTTCTCCAGTTTCAGGTGTATTACAACAAAATCTAGCAGAACTCCCACTAGTTTCTGGCCTGAATTGGAACACAGTGTGCCTCAGTTATTAATGATGCATGCAGGATTTGTGAGATTGCCAGCCATCTTGAACAGGTTTTCTTGCAGTAAGTAGGAGACCCAACATTGTGATGTGGTTAATATCTTCTGTGTTAAAAGTGGGAAAGCAATCAAACTTGACATTTAATCCAAAGCATAAAGCAAGTTTGCATTTTCATTAGTTGCTTTATTATCTTCTGGATTTAAAAGGTGAAGCAAAAGGCTTAAATAATTTTGGTGACCCAGCCTTGATTGTGTTGTTGTTCTTGTGTCCCATCGAGTCATGATTAGTGGGAAAGAAAAAAGATAAACTCAAATCTTTTTCTCTGAAAAGTCACTGATTGAGGGGGGCGTAATTAATCTTACAGTCCAGGATCAGAGGATCCTAGGGCCATCAAGGGAGAAGAGCATGAGCAGAATGTGGGACCCTATCCAGAGAGGCAGAGATACCAGAGATGGAGGCAGAGATGAGGACATGGAGAGATAGAGCAGCTGAGCTCTCTAGACTAATGCAAAGAGAAAGGCTGTGCGCTGGTGGCCAGGAGGCAGACTTGCAGAATGTGCTCATTATTAATATTAAATGGTTATATATTTGAGTGTGTTTGTGTACATCCCCCCCCCAAAAAACACACACACACACAAACAACAACAACAACAACAGAGGGAACAGAAGCAAATACTGTTGAATGATGATGCTTGGAGGGGATTGTAATCATTGCAATGAAATGATGAGTTAAAAAAAAAAAAAGATTATAGTTCTGGAAACCCTATGGGGGCAATACTAAAGGGTTGTTATAAGTTGGAATCCACTTGATGGTAAATGGGTTTGGTGTTTAGGATGAAAGAATATCAAGTATTAAATATGGAAATACATAAACAAAACAATCTAGTATTTTACTGATGACATCATCATGAAATACAAAAGTAGCTCTACAAATTAGTATATTTTCAAAATAAACAGCTTACTGGTTTAAACTGAAAAAAAAAAAAAAGTTACTAATTGGTCATAATAATCTGTCCCAGACTTGAAATCCAGCATCTTTTAAGCTTTAACTTTCAAAAGATGGCGTGTGAAATTATATTTCTTAGAATTGTGATGAAAATCATGTCTACGTCTAAACTTTCAGTGTCACTGTTCCCACAATGAACTACCAACAATAGCTGAGAAACAGCTCTTTTGATGAAGATGCACTGTGGTGGAGCAGTAGTTAAGCATTCAGCTGCTAACCAAAGTCGGCAGTTTGCCAACACCAGCCACTGCTAGGGAGAAAGA